GAGGTGCCCAAAGCCAGCTCCATAAAGACATGGCGTGATCAGCTTGTGAAGGCTACTCAAGTTCCACCACACCAGAGCCCTGACCCCAACCCTATGGAACTTAGGAACACCTTATGGATAGGTATTCCATAAGAATTATTGAGGTGAGGTGCCCAAAGCCAGATCCATAAAGACACGTAACCAGCTTGTGAAGGCTACTCAAGTTCCACCACACCAGAGCCCTGACCCCAACCCTATGGAACTTAGGAACACCTTATGGAAGATAAGTATTCCATAAGAATTATTGAGGTGAGGTGCCCAAAGTCAGATCCATAAAGACATGGCGTGACCAGCTTGTGAAGGCTACTCAAGTTCCTCCACACCAGAGCCCCGACCTCAACCCTATGGAACTTAGGAACACCTTATGGAAGATAAGTATTCCATAAGAATTATTGAGGTGAGGTGCCCAAAGTCAGATCCATAAAGACATGGCGTGACCAGTCTGTGAAGGCCACTCAAGTTCCACCACACCAGAGCCCTGACCCCAACCCTATGGAACTTAGGAACACCTTATGGAAGATAAGTATTCCATAAGAATTATTGAGGTGAGGTGCCCAAAGTCAGATCCTTAAAGACATGGTGTGATCAGTCTGTGAAGGCTACTCAAGTTCCTCCACACAAGAGCCCCGATCTCCACCCTCTGGAACACAGGAACACCACAAGAAATATTGAGTTCAGGTCTACAAAGCCAGCTCCATAAAGACATGGTGTCACCAGTTTGGTGGAGGAACTGGAGTGTCCTGTACAGAGCCCTGACCTCAACCCTACTAGACACCTATGGGAATGAAGAGAACCACCGATTATGAGTAAGGTCTTCTCAACCAACGTCAGTACCTGACCTCACCAATGGGACAAATTCCCACAGACACCCCCCAAAATATTGTGGAGTCTCCCCAGATCAGTGGAGGATGGTATAGTAAGGGGGGGGGGACCAACTCCATATTAAAGGCCATGGAGGGACAACTCTATATTAATGTCCTGGCTCCATAAAGACATGGTGTGACCAGTTTGGTGGAGGAACTCGAGTGTCCCACACAGAGTTCTAACCTCAACCCTACTGAACATCTTTGGGGTGAATTGCTCCGTCCCTGTTTTGGTAACGGAGGAGAGACAGAGAGAGAGAAGGAATAGAAGAGGAAAGTGCTATGAGGTCTTCAGTACTGGATCTATATAGAGGGATCAGGACCTCCTTCCTCCTGCTGGGGATCCCTCTAGTGATAATAAAGATCTATATAGAGGGATCAGGACCTCCTTCCTCCTGCTGGGGATCCCTCTAGTGATAATAAAGATCTATATAGAGGGATCAGGACCTCCTTCCTCCTGCTGGACCTGTCACCGGGTACGTGGCGGCTGGTGCCGTGCCGGCGGATCGGTAGAGTTTGGGCGGCACACCTCAGATCCTCATCTCCGTGGTGAATACTCCGGGTGACAACGGAAGAAAACAACTGGGAGATAGGATAGGGTGACAACGCTCTGTTCCTATAACAGGAAGTGTCTGAACAAGGACAGAGCATTGTCACCCTATAACAGGAAGTGTCTGAACAAGGGCAGAACGTTGTCACCCTATAACAGGAAGTGTGTGAACAAGGACAGAGTGTTGTCACCCTGTAATAGGAAGTGTCTGAACAAGGGCAGAGCGTTGTCACCCTGTAATAGGAAGTGTCTGAACAAGGACAGAGTGTTGTCACCGTATAACAGGAAGTGTCTGAACAAGGACAGAGCGTTGTCACCCTATAACAGGAAGTCCGGTCCAGTCTGATTTCCTGTCAATGAGCTGCCATAACACGACGCACGCCGATGCACGCCACATATAAACGAGCGCTCGCTGTTCATGGGGTATATAGAGAATATCCTCAGTGGTGACATCATCAATCGTCCTGCGCCTCCAACCTGCACGAAGGGGCCCCCAGGGGCCCGTAATCCCATACACAGCTTTGTGACCGATGAATCTGATATCTCAGAAATGTCGCTTTCCCT